ATTTGATCCGCGCCGCATACGCGGGTGACAGTATGTGTGTAGCGCTGCTACAGGCTCTCGAAACCAAAGATTTTGGAAACTAGGACAATTAATCGGCGGCACGTTTGCGCGCACGGTTAAACCGATATTTTTTGAGAAACGGGTTGTTGTATTATAGCACCGATTCAACGGATACGTTACAAATTGAGGTTTTTCACGATGGGTTTAAAATATTGCATCCTCTATGAGGCCCACGACATGGTCATCTCATCTCGGTCGTGAGAGGACGTACAACTTGGTGAGTTGCCATTATTGGTGGCCCAAGCTGTAAAAGTGGACGAGCACATATGTGTGCACGTGTGAGTCGTGGCAGAGGGAAAAACCCCCTCTGAATGCGCTGACCAGTTTATTGGTACCCTTCAGGTCCATGAGTATGGACTTTGTGTTTGGCTTGCTGAAAGACTCGGCAGACAACACGGGTGTGTTGGTCTTTCAAGACCGTTTGAGCAAGATGGCTCATTTTGCGGCAGTGCCGGACAGCATCGACGGTGTGGGGGACAGCGACGCTGCTTTTCGATCGTGTCTTTCGACAACATGGACTTTCGAAATCAATTGGTGTTGATAGAGCTTTACTGGGAAGTTTTGCTTTACACTCTTCAGGGTGCTGGGCAACAGGTTGACTATTTCAACGGCGGACCATCTACAGGCCGATGGTCAGATTGAGCGGGTGAATCGCGTTGTTCAAGACGTTATTCGTAGCGTATTCGCTGAGACGCCGAGCGCTGGAGCGCTGTGTTGCCCCTCGTACAGTTTGTTCTGAACAACGCAGTGCATTTATCTACCGGTTCTACACCGTTCTACGTGAACGGGCTTGTTAATCCTCGCGTACGCTGACGCCGCCATCTCATGGCTCAGACTTGGTGATATCAGCCCCGTAAGAAGTCGGAGACTTCTGTCTATTAGACTGGGGGTCTTACAACACGCTCGCAATGCGATGGCGTAAAGCCAATACATGCAGAAGAAATATACAGACTGAAATGGAAGAAGAAACGTTGAAAACATTGAGGTTGTAGTCGGTTCATTAAACGCTAAAAACCTTCGTACACATGCATTTTCTGCTGTCTTTAAGATGAAGCTCCGTCTACGCTTTGTTAAACCTTTTAAGTGCGTGTCCAAGGAAGCCTAGCGTATACGCTGAACCTTCCGAAAAAGATACGCACCCACCCGGTCTTTTATGTAGGCTCGCTTAAGCCGTACCGGGATCCGACACAAGTGAACGCGGAAGCGTTGGCGCTGGTGCGGCTCCCAAAGTGCTCGGTCACCCAGAAGTTTAACCAGCAACTGGATCTGAGCACGGAGTGCAACAAGTTCCGTTTCCATTGGTGCAAGTGCTTCACCGTCACAAGAAGTGACGTGTTCGCGTGTTCGCGTGCTCGACGGCTAGGAGCCGCTCCGACAGAGCACGATAATCCCCAATGTGAGGCAGTCGGTGCACAAAGTTCTTCAGACTCTCGAGGTCTTCCGCACGGCGGTAGGCGACCTCTGAGAGATGCTCGACAGAATGCCGAGGACTACGGACTTTGTCCTCCAACGCTCGAAGAGTATCGCGAGTTACCGGACGGCGATTGACAAAGTCGTCATCGTCCGCCGCCGACTCTTCTCGATGAAAATGGTGGCGTCCACTACCACGTGGAACACCTTGTGGGTCGACGTCGCCAACGGGGTTTAACCCACTATCTTGTTAAGTGGCGGGAACACTTAGACTTTGAGAACTCGTGGGAGTTCGAGGTGCCACTTCGGCAAGATTGCCCAGTCATCGTTGACACTACTGATTAGAATGATCATTACGCTTCGCGTCGTCTTGCGCACCGCGCTTCTCGGCAGTAGCCCGAAAAGCCGGAGGGCATGAGCTAAGCCCAAGCTATGGCCCTTAGCTGCTGTGGTCGTAGACTCACTGGTGTGAGAAACCATGGAGCTCGCTGGAGTGTTATGGATTGTTCCATACATGGCAGCGGTTTCGCCACAGGAATGATCCGCATTGCGGGGACAGGAGCACCTCCTTTATGAGCTCGAAGTCGAGCGCGGTACTGATCCATTGGGATCTCTTGAAGTATCATTAAGCGAGCTCGCAGAGCTTTCCGCTGGCCATGCTCAGCTTGTAAAGTGGCCGGAGGCCCGACTACGTAGACACCTAACGATCGAGTGATCGCGTCTTTCGCTTCAGTAGCGGGATCCGCCGAGCGAAAGCCGTATTCCATACAATGGTCTAAGACCGAACGTGGATACGAGCGCAGAAAAGCTACTCTGTGAACAGTCTCCAATTGCTGCTCCTGTACCTCGTCGAGGCGATTTGTAATAATGTCACTTCCTCCGGAAGCCGAGAGGTCGGGGAACGGACATGGTGTCCGCAGGTATTGAGCTGGTCTCACGTCGCGCCGTTGGCGCACTTATTCCACATCCTCATCCCATGCTCGAAAAGGAGTGTCCGACTCTGAGTCGACTTCCACTAACTCCTCGACGAGGAATCCCATCTATCGGGGGGGGGGGCGCGTTGTGTTGCGCCAGTTGCCAAATGCGTAAGTTGTGCTTCCCGTGAAGCCGCGGACGTACTGTCCGTAGATGCATCGTGTGTAGAAGAACAAGAAAGGCTTTGCAGGCGGGAGCCCTCGCTACCAGCGAGGCTGGGTGTTTTGCGTGTCGTAGACACAGTGCTTATAGAGCGGAGAAGATTTAAAGTTGTCCTTAAAGAAAGTTAAGGTGTATCAGACACGCGATCCTCGTATGAGGCGAGCGTTAAATGTGAATTGGCGATATCCAGCATTTTGATGGGGAGAGTGTAACGGGGTTACACTTGCCCTTGTGAGAAAGGTCGGGTCGCACACTCTTGTGCGACCCTACATAGGTGTGTATTACAGAGTTTGTGTAATAACACAGTGGTGTGAATACACAATTACAAGAAGCCACCACGTGGCAGGATTGCCAAAAGTAATGCATACTACTATATAAATCAGATTTTGTTATATTAATTTGGTATGACTCTATTTATAAAAAAACTAGGGTTTTAGATATTGGTGGCTCTGCCCCAACTGAACCAATTAAATATAGTTTCATTTCTCAACAGTAGTGTTCGTTTGCCTTGGTAAGGCATTAGTACTTAGAATTAGCGGAGTGCCAACTTGTACTGGTTCCTGGAAAGAACATTTGGTCGATGACCTTAGATTAGCTTCCTCTAAGCAAAGATCTACGGCAGCCACGCTGCAGATACGCTGCGGAACAGCATTGCCCAGCGTACTCTGCTGAAGTGCTTTAGACCTGGCCGATGGGTATTATCAAATGCTCGTGCGAGTAAGCGATATGTATAGCCGTGAGCACTACAAGTGAGTGCCTTGGCATACTTTTAATATTAGAAACGCGCCAGTGTCTAGCATCACAGCTGTGAGACGGTTTCGCATGAACGTATATACCTATTTTGACGATATTTTGCCCTTCGTTGTACATACCCCGAGAAGCTGGATGTATACATCAAACAGGGGGCCTATGACGCCTTAGCTTGACCCAAAGCACAGCCAAGGATAAAGGGTAACGCGTCAAAGATAACGTTCAATAAGATATCCAAGATAAAAAAAAGTTGTGGTATAAGCAAACAGCTTTGAAGACCGCCTATTCTACGGCAGGCTCAAACCATTTGATATCCTTTCTAAGCGATTAGGTGAAGAGCCATGACATTTTGGCATAGTTCTCGCTGTACTCGTACAAAAAGCTGGTTGAAAGTGCTACATTGATCTTTTTTATTTTGGAAAGAGACAATGCTTAGTCTATCCCAGCTTTTAAAGGAACAAGATCTGTTTGCAGAAACCGCGCCATCCCAAAAAAAGGCACGCTTCACTAGCAAATGAGCTTGATGAAGTAGTTTCTTGTGAGAATTGACAGCTTAAGCCAGCAGTGAAGAAGCGCGCAGATAATGACAAGAAGCTACGTACGGCCCTTGTCAAGTCAGGGTAAACCTGCTGTCTTCATGTTCTGCATTGCCGAGTCTTATCGCTCCTGACGCGCACCAACGTCTGGCTAAGATATCCCTGGAGGCGTCACACCAGCAAATTTAGATATTTATGATGTTTAATAACCAAGTCCGCTTCATGAACTGCCATTTGATTTACTCCGCTCGGAACCAACTCAGGACAGAAATATTGACTAGCGCCTAACCCCCTGGGGCAGATATGTGAATTAACCCGCTTTACCCGCGACGAGAATGTATTTTCACCCCGACTCATCTGTCAGATCAAAGATAAGTGTTTTTAAAAGCGTCAGGATAGTTGTGTGCATTGCAAAAAGGATGCTTTGTCTCTCAGTAACCGCGTAAATCAGCGTTTTCTAGTTGCCGACTGTAATGGGCCAGAACCATTACACATGTTGTCTGAACCATACTTGCAAGTAACTAACATTACTTGAAGATCCTGTATAGCTGTATACCTTCAATTCTATTATATCAGGATCCGAAGGCACTTTTCAGTAAAGATAGTTTTAAGACCTATGAGTCATAGTAAATGTCAATTTACTAGTCCTTTTCTTTGAATTTAACCAAAGGCTCTCTGGAAGTAGGCAACACTTGGTGAAGTATGTTAACCGCCTAAAGTCTTCCACACTAAGTGTGTGTACACGGACGGGTAACTCAAGGTACACTTGGCAGCACTAACAGTTACTCCAACGCGGACCACTTCGATGATTTCATAAATGGACAATGCGGACACCACAGGCGGATTTTGCTCTCAGATCAACAGGGAGGAATAGTTGCTCTTAGAGTGTGTGGTAGAGCCGCGAGCTTTAAGCGAAAATCGTGCGGTATACAACGCGATACAATCAAATTAAGTCGCGATAGCTTAATGTTTAACACATTTTGCTGCGTATGAGCAAGGACTTTATGAATCTTGTTCCAAAACATACCGACGCCAGTTCCTTCATGTCCACCACAAGTGCTGGTACACCGTCGATACACACGTAGCGTCTCGTTGTGTCGCATTAGGATGGTCATGCAAAGGGTGGGCGATTACATAAGAAGCCAACCGTCCCGGCTTCTTTGCACATGGCAAGAGTTGAAGATGGCCATGAACTCGATGTTTTTTCGTCAATTGCTGCAAATCGACAGCGGTCACGCTTTTTGTCATGCCGTCAACACATCAGTACATTGTACTATACACAGAAACCCTGTGAGCTTCGTGCCAGTATGATAGTCAAAATACTACCAGAGGCGGTGATAGTCACCGTATTTATGGAGGGGCTTACTTATGGTTATCCTGATACTGAAGCCGTCCACCGGAGTGCGACGACTTTGGGAGATGCAATTATGATTGCATTGCGTGAGGACTAATGTCAACGTCAAGCACGTGGTCAATCGATTAATCCGATGGAAGCAGTGACTACTACTACCGAAATCCAATGAATCTTAGTGGGTGACTGTCCGTGGGCAGCAAATTTGCTGCCATGAATGTGGACAATTTGATCACATCCATCGTGATTGCTACGAATCCCTCAATACGATTCTAGTCGTAGTGGTTCCGACCGAAGTGGTACGAATATCGCGAGGCGTTCAGAAAACGCCGGAGCCCAGTAGATGCAGGGTGGTATACTGGGGCGATTACAAACCCTTGTGAGCGTGATGGTAGAACCACTCATGAGGTTTAGCCATTGAAGGATCGTTGTCCTTGATAACGACAAGATTCGAGGTGGTCTATTCGTAGTTACAGCGAGTGCGAAGGGGTGCGGTCGCCCGTTTAGAGTCTTGATTTACTCTGGCGAGTCCCGTAACTACGAGCGTGAGCAAATTGTTGCTGAAAACAATTCAGTGCACTAGATAGAAGCAATGGCTTTACCTCGGTGAAGCTAGCCATTGGTACGGCGGTCACCGCAAAGAAAATTATGGTTTATCTTCAACTAAAGTCCGAAGGCTTCAACTTGAAAAAGCATTCACAGTCTTCGAGGCGGACAAATTGTATGACATTAGGTATACCGCGGCTTGACAAGCATGAAACATGGTTTGATTGGGGATAAATAGCAATCGGAAGTAGCTCTCCTGGCGTAGGTGATCGTTTAAGGAGTTTTGAACCCGCATTCACTATACACCGGAAGAACTGCTCAAGCGCTTGGCAGTCGTATGAGTCGTTTGAAGCGACCACTGGTGATCACTCATGAGGTGTGTCGGAAGATCGAGTGATGCCCAGAACTGACCTTATGAACACGGATGAAGCGTTGGTGGGCATGGCAATTTGCCCGATGGAAAGAATATATGAGGAAGAGATACCGGTAATTGTCCCCCCTCAAGACAGAAGAATGTTGTAGACATGTGTGTAATGGAAAATCGATGGAATTGACTTTGGCTGAATATGCCAATAATCCCACTGATACATTAGTTGAGTCGGATTGTGGAACAGTGGGTACAACCGATCATTAAGAGGATTCTCTAATCTGTTGTGTGGTTGAGCATGTACATGTGAAGGAATCACAGAAGTTGTGGATCGCGATACTGATACTCCTGCTCTGGATGCCTTTGAGTCCGCGCTTGAGTTAGTCCAGCGTAGGTACCCTCATGATGGAGATGTAGCATGCGAATATGCTGGTCCACGTATTGTAGAGGTAACGACTGGTTGCGAAGTTACCATAACAGATATTCGTTTACACCGTTGCAGACGATGGAAGCAGCTTAAGAAAGTCACTAACGATGACTTCCCACACGACTTCAAGTGTGATGGTACTGCGGAGGTCGTGTTGCCGCGATTGAAGATCGATTCAGCGGACTATGCTCAGCATCAGTTATGGATGATATGGTTTATGAAGAATCTCGACAGCGGACACGCAGATAATCTAATTTTTCAAAGAATTTAACTGATCCTGATTACTAATTTGTTATGGAAGACAAGGATGATGTCCTTTGTGCGTAGCTGCCCTCTGGTCTTCCACTCGAACGTGGAGTTCGACACGAGATTAACTATTCGTGTACATAGTGTTAAAGCATGTCGTGTCTACTGTCGCGTGAGCAAAATAAATATTTTGATTAGTTCTTTGCCCAAAACAAGTTGTTGGTTTGGTGAGTGAGAGCAAGTCCCCTTAAAGCATACCGGCGTTTTGTGTTCGCTCCCCGAATGACAACGGCGTATCGTTCGCGGCTATAACATGTTGAGCGTACAGACGATTCCCGCGCAAACGCCGATTTCGCGTAGGGATGTCATCATCCACCGTATGTCTGACTGTCCATCGATTAATGTACTTAATTAAGTAGATAGATATAACCTTTTCTGTACATGAAAGGATGAGATAGCAATACAAAATTTCCACCTCCAGCAGTGCGATAGCCTAACGTGCATGATGCACATGCCATTTCCACTTTGAGCGATGGAAGTGTCAGACAAAGCGCGACTCCGATTGTCCATGAAATCTTTGTAGAAGGTACTGAGAAACCACTACGAGCTTTGATTGACACTGGTGCGCCGAACAATTTTGTTCGAGCACGAGTTGAGGCTGGGCATGGTGTTGGCCTGCCCGATGTGAAAGAAAAGATGGTCATTCGCTTAGCGAATGGATCTAGAATAAAGATGCCGAAGCAAGTCATTCGCTTGGTAGTGAAGTTTGAAGATTTTCGAGGTGTAGACGAGTTTATTCTACTCGACTTCGATGATGAGTTTGATATTATCCTAGGCATGCCATGGTTGAAGCATTATCAGCCTAGCATTGACTGGATGAATATCAAAATTGTCGTCAACGATTCGTGCAGCGCTTATTCGAGCTGCATGACGACGAACGAAACAGTATGGGCATATGCATCTGTTGAAGAAGTCACAGATATCCCAAGTGGTATTTTGGTTTGCGATGGTCCCCCATTTTTACAGGACAAGCCCAAGTAGACGAAAGTAAAGACACCATCTGGAGGTGGAGCTGTCAGCGCCAGAAAAAGTCTGTCTCCTTTGCTATCGACATGGAAGTCAAGGTCGATGGTAGTATGAAGAATAGTGGGATCAGAGGCAACGACTCATCCCGAATGAAGAATAAGAAGACCACCAAAAAGAGTTTAGTTTTCCGTCAGTTATTTTGTGTGCTTCTGATCAAGGTACAGGCTGTATTGATGAAGTAAGTGTTCAAAAACAAGACACTTCAAGCGAGTTCTTAAATGCTGTGGCCTACATCGAAGAAGGTGACGTCGATATTATCCGTCGCGTGAAGATTGAAAATCCTCCCAGTTTAGTCAAAAAAAATGTTTTTTTTGCCATTGATAAGCAAGAAGACGCTGAAAAGTAGCATGGCGAAAGGCGAAAATTCGCAAATATGTGCGATTATCGAAGAAATGATCGACGATGACATCAATACTGCGGAGATATTTGATGAAAAGACACGATAGAAAGATTTCATTAGCAGTCGTGGGACGCTCTAAAGACAAGCCCCGTGTATTTAGTTGCCAAGGAATAC